CCGCCCCGCCGCGCGGTGACGGGCGCTGCGCTGCGCCGCGCACCGCCCCACCGAGCCGATTTGCATAGCGCCGCCCCCATTGGCCGCCCGCCGCCGTGCTTTGCATGGCACCGCCCGTATTGGCGGCCGGCAGCGGTGATTTGCATGGCACCGCCCCCGGCGGTCGCCGCCATTGGCCGCGGCGCGCGGTGATTTGCATGGCGCCGCCCCCGCCGCTGGCTGGCCGGGGCTGCGGGTGCCGGGGCGGCGCAGTGCAGGMGCCGGGGCCGGGGCCGGGGCAGCGGCGGCGCTCCGCTCCGCTCTCCCGCTGCAAGGCAGAGGCGCGGGGCGAAGCCGCGAGCCAGGATCGTCTCCCCGCCTCACGCCTCTTCTGTTTGGCCTTTTTTCTTCTTTACTTTTTTTTTTTTTTTTTCCCTCCGCCTTCCCTTCCCGAGTCCCCTGCGGGTGCAGCATGAAGTGCAGCGATGGCAAGGCGAGGTAAGACGGTCGTGAGGACGCTGGAAGATTTGACGCTGGACTCCGGTTATGGTGGCGCCGCGGACTCGGTGCGCTCCTCCAACCTGTCGCTCTGCTGCTCGGATTCCCAGCCGGCGCACGCCTATGGAGGAAACTGCTGGCCGCAGCTAACCGACTCCATGCACAGTCGGCACAACAGCTTCGACACCGTCAACACCGTCCTCGTGGAAGACTCGGAGGCGCTGGACTGCGCGGGGCAGCAGTGCCCGCGCCTCCTGCCCGACCTCGAGGAGGTGCCCTGGAGCGTGGAGGAGGTGGAGGCGCTGCTGCCGCTGCGGCCGCCGGGCTGCGGCGGGCGGGATGCGGCCGCGCGCCTCTCCACGCTCGTGAGCCGGGCGCTCGTGCGCATCGCGCGCGAGGCGCAGCGCCTCAGCCTGCGCTTCGCCAAGTGCACCAAGCACGAGGTGCAGAGCGCCCTGGAGATCGTGCTGGGCTGGACGCTGGCGGCGCGCTGCACGGCCGCCGCGCTCGCCGCCCTCTCGCTCTACAACATGAGCGGCAGCGGCGGCGACCGCTTCAGCCGCGGCAAGTCGGCGCGCTGCGGGCTCGCCTTCTCCGTGGGCAAGTTCTACCGCTGGATGGTGGACAGCCGCGTGGCGCTGCGCATCCACGAGCACGCCGCCATCTACCTCACGGCCGCCACCGAGAGCCTCTTCCGCGACATCCACGCGCGCGTCGTGGCCGGGCCCGCCGCCCCGCCGCCCGGCCGCCCCGCCGGCCCCGCCGGCGCCGCCGCGGCCGCGGCCGACAAGGAGAAGGAGGGCGGCGAGGCGCCCCGCTTCACCCTCGAGGCGCTGGAGCACACGGTCAGCAACGACCCCGAGCTCTGGGGCTTGCTGCAGCCCTACCAGCACCTCATCTGCGGCAAGAACGCGAGCGGTGAGTGCGGCGCGACGGCGCGGGGCGCGGGGCTGCCACCTGCCGCGCCGCCCCTGCCCGCTCCCTGTTCCGTGTCCATTTCATTTCATTTCATTTCATTTCATTTCATTTCATTTCATTTCATTTCATTTCATTTCATTTCATTTCAGGGCGTTTCGAGCCTCCCCTCGTCGGGGCCGGGCGGTGCCGGTGCCCTCGTTGCGAGGGGAAGCTGCGGGCATCCCTGCGGGACCGCTCCTGGGAACAAGCGCGGGGGGACGGGCTGACAGCGTCCTGGTTTTTGCATTTTTTATTTTCGTAGGGGCTTCTCACGGGGGCTTGGGCGCGGGCCGGGTGATAGAGCTCGCTCAGAGCTCCGGTTTTCCACAGGAAATGGCAGGAGCGCAACTGGGCGCGAGCGAGCGGGAGCAAACTTTGTTGCGCACGCAGTGGTTTGGGCAGCGGGTGCGTGTTGGCGCTGAAACGCAGCCTTTCTGGACAGATTTCGTGCGTGTTGCTGCTTGTTTACCCAGAGCTTGACACAGATGCAACACGGTGAGGCAGCAACTTCCTCGTTTTTTTTTTTTTTTTTTTTTCCCTTCAGGCGGAGGCCAGTATTTTTAATGAGTTTTCGGTGAATAGCGCAGGACCCCAAAGTTGACGTTTCTTCCTTCTTTCAGCTCCCTCTGCTTGTCAGAGAAGGGAAAATGGAACAAGCCGGGAATGCGTCTCGGGGSCAGCGCGGCTGAAATCGGGTGTTTCTCGGCGTCGTGCACAAGCCCAGAATCGCACCGTGCTGGAGCTCCAGTCCGACATAACCTGTCAGGCTGAGATGCAAATGTCGAGAAAAAAAGAAAAGGGAACCTGGGAAAACCGGGATAACTGGAAGCCCAGATCAGGTCTGCAGATTAGCCCTGCTAAGTTGTTGCAGCCACAGACAGTGAATTAGGGCCATTTACCTTTTGTTTTAAGACACCTTCTCTGCCACAAAGGGTCCCAAAAGAGGACACCAGGCAGAGGCAAAAGGCAGTGGCAAATCCCCCTCCCCTTGGTGCAAATCCCTGTGGCTCCATCACGGTCCTGCAGCGGTTTCAGCCCAGCTGAGCCCGTCCTCCGCAGAGGCTCTGCTGCCTCTCGCCTGCAGACAAGTCAGGCGATGTGTGTGGGTGTCCCTTGTCGCAGGATACCCGGGATTTATCCCGCCATCATCCCCGGGAGAGCCAGCGGTGTTTTTCCGCCCGTCCCGGTGCTGTGCCGATAGGTTTGGGCAGGCGTCGCGCTGCGTCTGTGACATTGCAGCGCTGCCTGCTCGCATCCCCGCCGAGCCTTGCATTTTGCTTTGCGGATTTTGTAACTCCTACTCCATCAGCCTGGACTTCAGTCCTGACCCGTGTTCAGCTCCGCACCAGGGAGACGATCTGGAGTTTTCGTCTCCATTTTGTCCCTTTTTGCCAGCCTTACCTGGCACAGATCTGCTTGGTGGCTCAGTCTTGACTCCAGCAAATGACATTTTTCTAAGATGTTAGAACCAGACTGTATCAAGTTGTCCATTTTGTTTTGTCTCTCTCTCTGCATCCTTATATTTTCCATGCCAAAGACTGCAATGTTGTTTTCCTTTTTACCCTGTTGCAATACATAGATAGAYATCCTGCTGTATATATATGTTTGGAGCTGCAGGTGCAAACAAAACAGAGTCAGCCTTTCCTGTAATAAAAGCCACTTTTTATTACTCTTTATGTCTATTTAGRTTTATCCTGAGGGTGCATTGCCTACTGTTAAGCACTTCAGCAGCAACTTAAATAGACATTGCAAGCTATTAAATCAGGCTGTTCCTTCACCAGTGAGATATCTATCTGTTTATACAGTCTTCATCGTCTTGATGGCCGAGTGTTGCACAGTCCGTTGTGAATGTTTCCTTCACAGGCACTTAAGAGGTGGGAAGTCTGATTATTTGAGAGATTATTTGACCCCATCAGAACTATTTGGGAAATCTGTGGTAGGTTGTGCAAAGCGCTGGCAGCTACATTTCTATGGAGCAGCGTAACCGCAAGTTGAGCCTTCCTCCGGAGTTGCTGCCTGCACTACAGTGATAAAGTAGCTGAATACGTATTCAGCTTCTCCTGAAGGCTTCTCCTTACATCTCCATACAGTCCATGTCTCTTCTGTAGGCCTCGGGGCAACCTCCTCAGTGAAACCGAGAGGAACGGCACAACAGAAGTAGGTAGCTGCATCAGGAACACGTCGCTGAAGTGCGTGAGCAGCTCCTGGGATCTCGGCTGAGTTTATCCCAGTTACTATATAAATGCAGACCTCAGAACCACTCAGGGGTAGTACTTTTTTTTTTTTTTTTTTCCCTCCTATGCAACCAGGATTTTAATGTCATGGTTGAGTGAAAATTAAAAACTTTACGTTTGGGATTTCGTTGACGCTTGAATGTTTCAATTATGAGCTCCCTGTGAGCAGTGCAGTACCCATTTTACATTTCCTAGCATGTACACGCGTTATTTCCCTTGAAATAGTGGGGCTGATTATTGTATGCTCGATATAAGGCAGTAAAAACTCGCACCTCTGTGGTTTAAGCTGTATTATTTTTGTTTCTTTATTGCTCACCAAAATCCTACTTGTAGGCCAGATCAACAAACTGCTTCAGGATGACTGAAGAGGCTGCYGCAGGTCTTGCATCCAGTATGAGTAGTAGGAGTAAGCCCATATGTTTCATTTGCACGGGACTTGCTCAGACAGCAGGTCAAAGTACCTCAAAGTTATCTGCGCTTTATTATGAAAGTCCTTYTTAACAAAATGGAGGAGAGGATTTAGACTGTGACTTGACCTGTATAGAGTGCTTAGAAAATAGGCTTTCATCCTGGAGGTCTCTTATCTTTGGTGGTAGGACTCGCATATGTAAATATTTCATCCAACTCTGGACTTTTTAGAGCGTCTGGATGGGCAGTACCTGCTGGAGGTGATGGATCCATGGTGGTGTGATGGACCTGCTAGATGGATGCGGTGGGAAGGGCGGATTCACTCTGCCCTCCCCAGCCGCACACTGGTGGGAGAGAGCTTGGAGCTGGGTTTTGCAGAGCAGCCAGCACCAGGCCTCCTCTGTTTGTGTACATCTACTAAAAACAGTTATTTGGAACCCAACTGTATCCATGTGGTTTCTTCCTATTCTTAATATTATTTTGAGAGAAAGACACAACAACTAGGAAGAAACCCAGGATTAGGTCAGGCTTGGCTAACACGTGTCAACTAACCTCAGTTTAACCTCAGCCTTTTCTAATCCAGGCGCACTCAAGGGACTTGAAACAACTGAGAGATGCCAATGTATTAGCACAGCTTAACCAAGTCAGTTACTGCTTCTAAATACTTTCTAATTTATATACACCCCTGCCCGTATATGTGTGCATGTGTGCATATATACAGAGGCCGTTCTTTTTATATGATGGCAAACATACTGCATCTGTTGGTTGTTATTTCTGTCCTTTCTGTTGCAGCTGAACCATTTGAGATGCTATTATGGCTTTAGGGGCATTGTAAAAATCGGTGACAGTTGAGTTGTCATCTGAGATGATAGGGCAATGTCTGGGGCCAAGTGGAAATTCAAGCCTCTTTTCCTGGGTTTCTTAACTATAGTTTCAAGAGCATCCTTTTTCTTCCCTGTTATATTTCAACCTTCTTTTTTTTTTTTTTTTTTTCTGGAAAAAAAGAAAGAGCTGTAATGGAGTTTGAACTCTCTTCTAAGTTCCTATATATTATATGTAAGGGTTTTTGCTGTCGTGTTTTCCCCATGTGCTTCCTCGTGCTCGAGTTCCTTGCCCAGAGGTTGACATTAGTAGCAGTGTGACAAATGATCCGCGTTTTCCCTCGATTCTCTTAATTGACAGCCTCCGCTACGAGAGCCCATTGCCCATGTGAGAAAGTTGGGAGAGGGAAGCCGCACAGGTCGGCTGGCGGCTCCAGGGAGCAGCAACAGAGCAGATCCTCCATGGCCAGGGCAGGTTTGCCCTGCTGGCCCGACTGCCTTGTGAGGAGCAAGGGTTGCACGGGAGGTTGCTGCTCGACTAACTGGCTAAGGTTACATTCCCCACGGATATTTTTAGTGGTATAATTTGTTTCAGTTATGTGTACCTTAAAACCCCCCAGAAATAGTTATTACCAGAAACACCCCAGTGTTAAGGCATAAAGGTGATATATACTGATGTAACTATTCCCTTTATCACRTTGGAGAGTACCTTACTAGCAGTTACAGTGCTGACCACCCTAGGGAGTTTTAGGGAGTTTGTGCGCTTCATTCTGATGTAAACAGGACTTTGGAATTACCAATGAGGAATATGACTGCACATACAGAAAGCATGCAGAAGGAGWAACATGGTAATTTTAGCAGGAGATTGTTTTCATGGATTTTTTGTCTGKTTTTACGGTGTGGTAGCACATCTAGTCCTCCAACCCTGTTTGTGAGCAGGGGACACAAAAGGCAGGACAGCCTTATGGACCGCTTAGCACCTTTCCCTYGTTTGAGGGTAAACGCTACCTCTGGCAACCATTTTGAAGCCGCTCAGAAAAAGGCACATTTTCTGCTTTGTTGGTTTTCTCCTCAGGACAGACCGTGTTTTCTTATGTGATGCCCTGTCGAGCCAAGCTGTCACTTGTCAGCCCGAAACCTCCCGCRTTGTCCACAGTAAATAAAGCAGCGTCCCAGATGAAGGCGGCTAAAGCCCGAGCTGGTTCTCCCCGGCTCTGGGAAGGGACTTGCTGCTTGTAGGGTAGCGGAGCTTTGTGGTCTTCCCCCCATAGTTCCAATGAATGTGTGCAAGGGAAGAGTTGGATGGATAACTCAGTTAGATGGATGTTTATAAGGAGGAAGAAATGCTCGGTTAGATCATGCCAGAGGAGAAGAGGTTTGTTTCCTGAGGCAGGTGGGCACCAAGGATTAAATCCTATACTCGGAGGAGCTCCTGTAGCCAACACACAGAGCTCGGGGGTCTCTCAGTATTCGCTACATGTAATCGGGTGCCTCCCAC